CTGCGGCTAGACTGGCCTGATTTTGCACAAACACTTTTAACAGAAAAGTTTTTCCATTAAAAGTATTTGCACAAGAGCTCGTCTATAGCGGCCTGTGCCTTTGCGCAAGAGCATCCGTGCCAGTGTAGACTCTCTCTTACGCAAGAAAGCGCTGCTGGCAATTTTAGCCATGGGGCTTTCTTGCACAAGATATTAACCTGGCTGTCTACACTGGCCCTCTTGTGCAAGAATGCTTGCGCAAGAGGGCTTATCCCGGAGTGGGAATGTCGGAGTATTTGCTCAAAACCACTGATTTTGTACATTACAAAGTCAGTGTTCTTACGCAAATACTTGCAGCCAGTGTAGGCAGGCAGCAAGTTTTTGTGCAAAAGTGTCTGCTTTTGCGCAAAATCATGCCAGTCTAGATGCACCCATACTCACCTCCCTTCATCATCCTCTGCCCTCAGCCCCACATCCCTTCACCTCCTTCCCTGATCTTTCCCCCCACTCGTTCATTAGCACTGACCCCACCCCTTCATTATAGGGGCTTGCCCACACTACTACTTACCTCAGTCCGACTTCCTACCCTGTGACGCCTTCTTCCAGGAGCATCTTACTGAACGTTCACTATAGAAAAGTGAAAGCACACAGAGGCAACACACATGAAAAATTAGTGTCTTCTCTTTTGTATACTTGAAGGTATTAGCTGAGAGTTTTATGGGCTGTAGTGCAAATGAGGCAAATACAGAGAACATCTGCCTTTAGCAATCCCTTTTCTAAAACAGCTTGTCATGGTGTGGGGAACTCATCACCAAAGGAAGTGGCCATGACACATGCTGCGAGGGTGAGAAAGCAAGCACTAAAGTGTGTGGCCGGAAATGCCTGAAGGGCAAGCTGGCACATGTACCTTGCACTGGCTTACCCAGCCTATAATAGAATGCAGCCCATCCACACATTGTTGGATGATTTTATTTGAAATAGGTTGAAGTAAACACTATAGCAAGGCACAAATGCCACTGCAGATTAACTAGATATGTGATGGCTTGGGAGTCATCCCCTGCTATTGTTACTCTACATAGGCTACCTTGTAAAACATTCCCTAGGCTAATGTACACAGTATCAAAAAATACAAAGAGTTCCAAACGGTTTGTATCAAAACACATCAAGACAAGAAAGTAAGCAATTCAATAAGATAAATAGTCTTTAAATTATTTAAACGTCATAGTAAACAATGAGCAGGAGTCTGTCTCAACATAAAAACTGTATTGAAGTAATTATATTACACAAAGCACATGACGTGAACAGATGAGGAACAGCATGAACAGGGAAGAGTCAATATGACTCTATGGAAAGAAAGTCTCCAAAGTAACTTATAAAACTGAGTCAGGATGGGAGATCTGCTATCAAAGGAGCTAGAGTTTTGGAAGCAGTACGGTGCTTTTCCTTCAAACACCTTTCATAGATGTCACCCGCTTCCTTGCCTGGTCATGTGCTCCCAGACTGCTGTGCAGCATTTGGCTAAATCACAGTGCTGTTAACAGACTGACTTTTCTTACTGTAACCACACTATCTGCTTTAGTATCATTTGCTCCCAAACAGGGATCTAATGAACTAGAGCAGGTTAAGTAAATTTCGTTTGTAGAGTTTTGGTTCTTGGACAAAGTGTATAGACCAGTGGTGAGCAACCTACGGCTCGTCAGGGTAAGCCACTGGAAGGCCTCAAGGCAGTTTACGTTGAGCTTCTGCAGGCATAGCCCCCCCCTGCGGCTCCCAGTGGTCACGGCTCACTGCTCTTGGCCAATGGGAGCTGCAGGAAGCAGCAGGCCACTGGGACTTGCTGGTCACTACTTCCCACAATTCCTACTGGCCGGAAACCATGAACTGCAGCCACTGGGAGCTACAGGAGGCCATGCCTGCAGACATTCACTGTAAACAAACTGTGTTGCAGCCCTCCAGCAGCTTACCCTGATGGGCCGCAGACTGCTCAACACTGATTTTTTTAAATATTTTTTACACACACACACACACACACACACACACACACACACACACCATCCCCTCCCTCCAGCGGATACAGCCATATTATATTTGTCCATCCCAGGGATTTCAGTTCTTGGAGCACTGGTACATCCTCCCGAGTGCAGTCTAGCAAAGCTGTTATGGGCTGCAATATGTGCAAAAGCTTACATTGGCTCTGCCTGCAGCAGGGTTTGCAGCAGTGCAGCTACATTGGTGGTTGGCCACCAAAGGCTTTACCGTGGCAACTCCAGTGTAGATTAGGCCTTTGTTGATGTGTGAGGTCTTGTGCTTTGATCACTTAAAAGCAGTTGAGTTAGCAATATTCATACCATTAAAAAGATGACACAGGTTGCAAAAACCCCTCTCTTCTCTGGTGATTTAAATTTATAACATAACTTGATTCAATAACATTCATGGAAAAACTAGAAGATGAACCAGGCATACTCCTTGTGCAATGAAACAGCACTGTGCAGTCTATACAAAACCAGGCGTTTGCATATGCGGCACGACAGAAGAGGATTTAAAGCAGATTTGTACTGTGCTGACAAATGTATTTGGTTGATACACAGTCTTATGAATTCGAGTGGTAGGGGACTATGAGCCATAAATACTAGAAGAAAACTTTTTTTTTCTTTTTTTTTTCTTTTTTAAAAGAGGCAGCAAGGCTGGGCTCCAGGCAGAGGCAATGCACACTTAAAGGAAGAGTGCATTTTCAGAAAGAAAACTGCAGCCTCAGAACATGCTCCTTCATCCTTAGGAGTTAGACAAATTCCAGGGGGGATTCTTGTCCTGTTTTCCCTTTTCACCTCGGATCTGGCAGAGATTCAGTGCTATGGATGTAGAAGCAGTTTCCCTTACAAATTAAAAGTGAATGGAAAATACAGTCCAAGCTCAAGAACAAAAGATCTGCCCCATTCCCACCCAATATTTTGTAAAAATTGTTCTTTTCTTAAATCTTAGTAGCATTTGAATGGTTGTTCTGAGAACGGCTACTGGAATCCTGCGTGCCACACCTCCGACTGTGTGCACAAAGAACGGAGTCACTCTTGCACATTTTGCATTTCCAACTATTTCCTTCCTTCACTGTAGTGTTCGTCTCTCTATCATACTCTTCATGTCCATTCTCATTTGTCTCTGTTTGTAACTTTTCCCTTTCCTCTTCCTCTTTTACTTTATGAACAATGAAGAGGTGCCTGTTCAGAGAGATGTGAGATGTGTAACACAAGCCACAGAGCGAGCATTGATAAGTGGAGCTGTCTGTCTTGTGCTGAGGTATGTGTCCCTGAAATTCAGTACCAATATATGTTGCAAATCCACATTTTGCACACTTCCAATGTGCCTTCAGTTTTTTGGCTGGTGGTGCTTCAGTGGTTTCCATCTGTCCCGGAACATCTGCAGACATTCTCTTTGGAGATTTTTCCTTTAAAAATGTAAAAAATATCTGTATTACTATATCTATGTATGAGTAAGAACTTTGGCTTACTGAATAGACCAACTTGGCTACAATAATGTTGGTACTTTTCCCAGACCCAAAGAAGAGCTCTGTGTAGCACAAAAGCTTGCCTCTCTCACCAACAGAAGTTGGAGCAATAAAAGATATTACCTCACCCATCTAGTCACAGTTAGAATTAGTCCCAGACTTTATGAAAATTGGCTTATGAGTATGAAGAGGCATAACTCAAAGACACTTTAGGCAAAATGCATCATGTCACAAATCATTTATAAAGTTATGATCAGCTGAAAGAGCAGATTCTATTTTTGTGCACAATCATTTATAAAGTTATAATGCATCCCAGGATACTCAAGGAGCTGATAGAGGAGGTATCTGAGCCTTTAGCTATGATCTTTGAAAAATCATGGCAGACAGGGGAGATTCCAGAAGTGTGCACGTATCATTCTTGAATGTGAAGGCAAAAAAATCTGTTTGATTAATCTAAGTCTTCTAGTGAAAGCCATAGCGGTGCTTGAAACTTAATGGCCTGGTACCCAAGACAATAATCTATAAAAGGATTTGTTTTTCTTGCAACCCCAAACTGCAGTTGGTCCTAGAAAGACATGTGATCATGCCACCTGGTGCTGGAACACATCTTGAATCTGGTATTTGCCCATAGGATTCCCACCCTGGGCAAAGTCTATTTAAGGAATGGAGAGCAGTCAGTGTTTTGTCTTCAGCTGGCTTTTGAAATTGTTTCCACACTCTAAAAGGATACATATGAAGAAACCTGAAAACAAAGAACTCTAAAGAAACAAAGAGCTGTAGACACAGGCCAGATTTTAAAAAAAATAAGCTGAAATAAGGGCAAGGGTGATGAATATATTTTGAAACAATTTCTCTTATTGTATCAGATTAATTGGCATGTTTTGTTTATTTTGTCTTAGTAACTTTGATCTGTCTGTTTTCACTTGCAATCACTTTAATTCTACATTTTATACTTCATAAAAACACTTTGATTTATTATTAAGCTCAGTGTAAATAAATGTTACTGGCACGGTGGGGGAGGGGAGAGCAACCAGTGTGGACTTCTCTCTTTCACTGATAAAGAGGGCTGACTTATGAACTGGGGGACACCAGAGCTTTGCCTCATCAGGAGAGGGTGCTGGGGTGTCCCAGAGGGCAGGTAGGGTGGGTTCAGTAGTATGATCAGCACATTGGGTGACAGTCCCAAGGGGACCTCTGTGATCCACCCCACCACAAGAGGGGACAATAACTTTTGCAGGGGGGCTACTCCATGAATTTTGTTTAAGTTCTCATGATGAAAGTGAGAGAAGGATACAGAAACCAGCTAGAAGGAGAGTAGAGAGAAATGAGATCAGAGATGGAAGACAGGGCTTGAGGAAGGGGGAGAAACTAGAACTTGATATGGAAGGCAAAGAGATCTAGAAGGGGGGTATAATGTGATCAGAGGAGGGAAGAGATATGCTAGTTTATCAACAGCATGTGGGATGGTCTGGCAGCCTGAGAAGTAAGGAGGACCATGGAGGAGGCTGAAACAGTTAAGGGAAGGGATGAGTAAGGCGTGGACACGGGTTTTGGTAATAGGACTTCTCTAGAGACATTGTTAAGGAAACACCAGCCTGATTGGGTGACTGGATGGATTGGAAAGGGGAAGAAGCTGAAGATGGCAGATGAATGGAAAAGGATAACACACCAGATGAGACTGGAAGGTAGCCTGCTAGACTCCTCAGCTGTGACACCTCTAGAAAGAAAAGCTCAGCCAGCAGCAGCAGCAGCAGAGACAAGCAGTAGGGATGTGAAAGGTTAACCCGCAGAGGGGCTGCACTGGCATTTGGAGCAGCCTCTGTCCCTGGCAGGCCCAGGCGCACACAGGCAGGGCCTGCTCCGGCTAACCAATTAAACAGGATTTTACATTCCTACCTGGCAACTAATCCTCTCCAACAAAACCCAAAATGGCAAAATCAAAAGCAAAAGAAACCAACAAAATAACTGTAGCACTAACATGCCATTTGCAGACCACCACACTGTTCATTTAAATCTTAAACTCTGCAGGGCAGGTCCTGTTTCTTATTCTACACTGATACTGTGTCTGGTACACAGGAGGTCTGATCTGCGTTGCAGTCCCTAGGCACTACCAAAATGCAAATAAAAAAAACCACCACAACTATAACTCAGCACAAATTTATCCCAGTTTAAGACTGTTTAAGAAATATGATATTGGTTGAATAATTTATACAACAGATTCCTCTAATTAGGAGAAATAAACAGTCCTTTCTATGATTCATGGATATTAGAAATATTTTAATAGGAAAAAGTCCTTATAAAAATGAAAGCGAGGGGAGAGGAAAATAATGGAAAAAATCGAATGAAACTATCTGTGGAAAATAATTTAGGATACACGTTTTTAAGGGACGGGAGTGACAAAAGAAAATCAACTGCACTTAAGATTGCACTGCAATATATCTGTGCAAGTAAAACAAACATAAAAAGCAATTCTGGGTTGCACAAACAGAAGCACTTCAAAATCAGGAGGTATGCGGCCTTTGTACAATCACTGTTGTAACATTTTCTTCAGAAAGGTATGGACAAACTGGAGGGAACTCAGAGAGAAAAAGGCACAAAATGTGCATGAGGCTGGAGATGGACTTTTGGAGGAAGAATTAACAAGAGGATCGGGCAAAATCTGGCCCACCAAGCCTTTTAATCCGGCCCAACTTCCCCTGCAGCACCACTCAAAGCAGCAGCTCACTGCTCCCTGTGGCTCTCTATGCTGCGGGGGAAGAAAGGAAGCTTTGCACACTGCTCCTGCCCCCAGCAAAATCTCTCAGCTGCCATTGGAAAGTTTCTGACCAATAGGAGTTGAGAGATTTTGCTGGAGTTGGGAGCAGGTAAGCACAATGTGTGTGCTCAGCACACACAGAAGGGCTAGCTAGCAGCTGTGTGCAGACGGGGGTAACTCAGGCTGTAGGGAAGAGGTAGCTCGAGGCTGTGGGCCAGGAGGGCTCCCCTGCAGTCTCTGTTCCCTGAGGGTTTTGCCAGCCATGGACTTGGATGCCCCACCCCTGTGGCTCTTACTGTGTGAGAAAAGGGGGCTGGGTGCTAAGGGGACCAGAAGCAGCAGCAGGAGAGATAGGAACCCCACCACTGCCTATGCCATGGCATCAGCCAGAGGAGCGGCTGTCCCGCACTGCCCATTTCCAGCTTCCCGCTTCCAAACCAGACAAGGGGCAGGGAGAAGGAGATGTGGGGAGTGTGGAACTGTCGCCCTGAGTTGCCCCCCAAAACATTCCTGGTGCCCCTCAGCTCTGCCCATGGGCTCAGAGGGCTTCTGCCACACAGGGAGCACTGTGGCTCTGGGGAGCAAGATTTCAGCTCCTCAGCTCCTGCTTCAGCCCCACAGAGGGTGCTGGGTCTCAGGCGGTGGGTTTCAGTATCAGCAACCAGTGGTCCCCTGAAAGGGTTTGTGATCTCCATTGAGAACCCCTACTTTATATTTCACATGGGACGGGGTGACACTCTCCAACCCTCACCTCCACCCAAGGCAGCATCTCCTCCTACCTCACGCTGGCGCTTCCCACCTCTCCCCTTGGCCTAAGACAAACTACCTGCTCTCCTTGACCAGCCACCATCTGCCCACACTCACCGGCCAGCTGCAAATAAGACCGGACTGGGACTGTGCTGATTGACCAACATGCAAGAGGAAAATATAGGACAATTTGCCCTTAAAAAAAAAAAAAGGACACCTGTGAGGGGGCTTAAAAATGGGACAGAGGGTCATCCTACTTTGGAGTGGAGGATGTTATAGACTAAAAGGTACAGTCATTAAAGAGACAGGTATCATTTACAATGATACACGGATATAGCAAAGAGATAAAATAAAGGGGCTTCTTAGGCAGAGATCTTAGACTCGGGTGGGAGTGCTCAACTATCCCATTCATGGAGAATGTATGAGAGAAGTGTACAGTTACTGAGGCGAGATTGGTCTCTTCTGTTGACTTCTTTCTTGAGCCACAAAACACTAAGTTTGCACATTTTAAACAGAAACGTCAGACGGTGCAAAAGTTGTGGCTCATATAGCATCCTTACAGTCAGAGGAGTAGCTGTGTTAGTCTGTAACTTTAAAAACAACGGTTGTCTGTTAGTCTCTTACGTGCCACAGGACTACTCGTTTTTATAGCATCCTTAATTCATCCATAGGGCGCACACATTTCATATTTTGTATTATTGATTAGACTGTTAAAAGCTATTTTCCAGGATTTCCAATGTCGGAGAGTCATTACCCCATAAATGTATTAATATTTGCTTTCAACATTTGAGGTTTTAAAGATCAACCATTTTTAAGGGGTGACCCCCTCGTCCCCAAAATATGAATGTGAATGATTGTTTATAAGGTGAGCAAAGGTATTTCACTTGCCCACTAGTTTGATTTCTCAAAAATAATTTTGAAAATGGCCGAACAGATTTTCACAAACTTTCCAGAAAAATTCTCCGTTTGGCAAAGACCCAGTACGGAAAATTTCAGCAATTGAGCAGAATTCTCCTTTTTTCCCCCATTAGAATAATACAGAGTGAAAATGGGGTTATAAATTTTGCTCCCTAATTCCCAGGGAGGGGAAGGGACAGAGCACAAATCAGGCGATTTGCGTGCTCCAGAAGTGCTGAAAAAGAGAAGGAGGAGCAAGTACATGGGGATCTGGTGCCCTAGTGCATAAGAGGCGCATGGGGCAGGGGAAGTAGATTGGAGCTCCACCTGTGGGCCCCCCCCCCCATGGCAGAGGGCTGCTATGGACCACTGGAAGGCAAAGGAGGGCCATGAACACGGCCAACTCACTATTCTGATTGCCCATTGCTGATATAATTCTATATAAATCCTGTGAGTATATATCAGGGATGACTAAACTCACTGACCTTCTGAGCTGCATACGAGAACCTTCCAAAGTTTGAGCACCACGAGACACGCACAACCTGTCTATGGGGCACATGCTGGAGTGCAGGTCTTGTGCCCTGATGCCCCACCACCCTGCTGCAAGGCGGAAGCCCCAAGTTCTCCACACAATCTGGCAGATAAAGAATGGGGTGGGGTTTCCAATAAGCTGCACTTTAACTGTAAAAAAGCTGCTTGCAGTTCCTGAGCCCCAGTTTTGCTATGCCTGGTATATAGCTAAACAAGCCAACTACAATTATTTTTCAGTACAACCATGTTAATTACTTTTGTTGAGTTACTCCCCGGAGCTTTTTCATTGGACATCTGGGACAGGTCCGGGTTTTTAATGCCATGCATGAGATTGATGTGATTTTCCAGCATGGAAGGCTGAGGAAATGTTTGATTTTCATCTGTGCAGTACCTTAAAAACATACAAAAAAAAGTTGCTAGTCAAGTGAGAAGCACATGGCTGCTGATCTAATTGCAGGCAGCTTCTTGGTAACGCAGAACTGTGAACCACAAAGAAAGGTTACAGATTGGTCAGAATTCTGAGACTAAAAGCATCTATTAGATCATCTCCGAAGACGCAGGAGTGCTCCCCCTACTTTGTATTTACTGGCATTTATTATACAAAGAAATGTTACAGATTGGTCAGAATTCTGAGACTAAAAGCATCTATTAGATCATCTCCGAAGACGCAGGAGTGCTCCCCCTACTTTGTATTTACTGGCATTTATTATCATCTAATAAAATAAAGCAAGCAAATGGTCTGGGTAAGCACTTCATAGACTACCAAAACATGGAGATGGTATTATGAGCTTTTGTGGGCACAGCCCACTTCTTCAGATGACCAGAGTTATGACTAGAGGATAAAAAAAAAACCCTTGAAACAAACAGAAGGGAAGGGCGGGGGGGAGGGGGAGGAGAAAGATGCTCTGTCGCCCACCCCCCTACCTCTATACATAAAGTATCAGGAGAAAGGGTGCTAAACCTGAGCAGATAAAGATCAAAGTCGGTGGATGGATTGCTGAGGGAACAATCTCAAGCACTTACAAGGTGCTGACAGTTTTGTCAGTGCTGGAACAGATATCAGTGCTGTGATGCCCAACGTTGATCTAGGTGGGGTAGTCGACACTGTTCTTGAAGATTTTGTGCCGAGACACAGTGATGACAGCTGTAAGTCTGCCTGCTTTAGGATCTTTAGACCTTCGCCTAGCTCCGGTACCAGAGGTATTTGGATAGTCCTTGGGACTATGTCCCCTCTTTGCACATCTTAGATTAGTCTATACCACCTCACACACATCCTGGTTAGTTATACGTTATTTCATTTTTCCCCAGAGTTCTGTTCACTGATGCTAAGCTACACCCCACAATAGCCTAACTGGGCATAAGCAGGTAAGAAACTTGTCAAACTCAAGGTTTCTTCACCGAAAAGTACCTAGAAAGCTTGTCTCCAAAATAAAAATAAACAAAGGTACAGATCCAGTTAAGGAAGTGGGATAAAATAATGGTTAAAGATTTTATAACTTGCAAAATCATCCTATAAATACTCCTAGCTGAAATGTGTAACTTTGGGAGCACTCCTTATGTATAAGATGAAGGCAACAGTGCTGCATAACACAGCTTCCTGAAGACTGGTTTTGTAACTGAATTTTTCCCTGTACTACAGTACTATTGGGTTTTTGCTAGAAACCTGACTGATCTTGGCTATTTGGAAGTTTCAGAGGGGTAGCCGTGTTAGTCTGTAAAGGAAAAAGCTTAAAAAACAACGAATAGTCCTGCAGCACTTCAGAGACTAATAAAAATGTAGCTGGTAGCACGAGCTTTCATGGGCAAAACCCACTTCAGATGAATCAGATTAAGGGGTCCAGGTTGCAACTATTCATTGCTTTTTATGTTTTTCCTGGCTATTTTGTCTCCTGACTATATTTCGTAATGAACCAAAGGGTGGCCAAACAATTGACCATACAATTTATCAACAGGAGAATCAGGTCCAGTGTTTCACTGGCCATTCAGCGGGTGCATGTGGCTGTACTCTCAGATGCATCAGCAGAACTCAGTTTTAAACCTCACCCCAAGTTTCCAAGAACACTATGTAATCAAAACCAAGGACCTATCTTAGCCAAAAAGCCACTCGTGTCTAACCAATTCCTCCTCTTATTCTCCTCCAGCATCATTTGCATGCCGGAGTAGGCAGGAGCAGATATTATTTATTACAAAGAGCTTTTGAACTTTAAAGATGGTCTAATCTCTGGATCTAAGCTTGGAAAGCAGCACTGGATACTCACATGCAAGTGTAAACTTTCTTTGCTGTGTCATGATTATTGCGAATGTGTCTGCGCAGACTGCTGAAATCGTTGAACGAATGCTCACACTGCCGACAGGGATATCTCTTCACGGACTAGCAGAGGAAGAGAGAGATCTTTTAACCACAGAAGACAGCCAGCGCCTTTTGTCTGCTTGACTCTAATGAAGGGAAGAATAGCAAGGGAGCAGCACTGTGCTTACATCCAGAGAGAAACCCTTTAACAGAGATACCTCAAAAAACAATTTCAAGATTGTGGGGATCCCCCGGTTAGTCAGCCTGACAGTGTTCTGTCCTCATTGATCTCCCCTTTAAACAGGCAAAGATCAGAAGCAGCTCAAGAACAACCTTGATCTTTGTTTTTATTAATTACTCCTGAATACCAATCTCTCTTTGTTTCTTGGTGGTAAGAAGAGAGCGCCTCATAATCCTGAGGAAGGGGGGGGGTCTGGATTATAGTTTCCTCCTTAACAACAGAAGATGGCCCCTACTGCTGAAGGAGGAAGATCTGGTGTAATTAGAAGACCTGAAGGGATAGAAGACAATTATCTGCAAATCCAAACAGCCACCTTGGCATCAAGAGAAGCAGCATTGGCAAGACTCAAATCCACCTACTCATTCTCTTCTCCCAAGAGCAGGCCCGAGGTAGCATTAGAATCATACAGAGAGCCATTAATAACCTCCAAATCCCCCTACACATTTATTTTCTACCTGGCATCCTCTGCGGTGTAAACCGCTGCATATCATCTGCATTTAGCAGTTACATCTCATCACATACATGCATTTGCTCATTTCTAGAAAACAACCGTCCCTACCAATAATATTCAATACTTAATGAGAACTCCCATCCCCCACCACTCCCATTTTCCTCTTTGTATTTATGAAATGGGACAATCCAGACTTCAATGGCTGCTGATCACCGAGCTCCAATTATGAGCAACTCAGCACTCTTGAGGTATTGAGAGTTTGGCTGTGCAAGAAAACCTGGTCTATGTTTTGTCAAGGAGCCAGTGCTAGTCCCGAAAAGCCCATTCTGAGCCCAATCTGCAAAACCATATGTCAGTGTGACAAGATTTTAGGTACCCACAAATCAGAAAATTCAGATGTATGGTTCCTATAGCAACCTCACCTCTGCACTTTGCACAAATTCCTCACAACAGCCTCTCTTAGCGTGAGATCCTAACAGTAGATAATTCCCACTACTATATAGCAAATAATAAAGGATGTCAAGGAAGAGCAATTTTTCCCTTCATCTTTAAATGGATATATGAATGGAGGCCTGTCTTCACCTAAACTACAATGTCCTTTCAATTACTTTTACTCTTATTGCTATCTGTGCTATGCTGAGTTGGTTAACAGAGTGGAACTGCTATTTTCACAGCCAGATCACAGTACAAAGCAAAGTATATTGGCAGCTGCGGAGGGAACCAGCAAGCACAATTCAACAGCCATCAGTACAAAGGATGGAATCCCAGCCAATGTTGCTGTCTTCACTGTGACTGGAACAGATACCGCTCTCCAGTCACTTGCATGCAGAAAAGGAACCTGGATATGACATGCATTGAGGGAAGGAGCTGAGGAAAGATGACATGCCAAAAAATAGATCATGCCATTCAAGAAGACCCGATATGCTTGCAGCAGGTCAAATCAAGGTATTTTTTTCTGGCTGTGCTCTCACTCCAATAGGGCTGGTGAACAGCTATTGGGTTTCTATATGATTGCAATATTAATGACTGGTAGTTCTATTGCCAAAAGCTCATAAACAGGAAGAAACATGCCTGAAAGATTTCATTTGGCTCCTTACCTTTCCATGGCTTTTCTTCATATGGGATACATAGTTTTCCCGATCAGGGTTCCACTGAGAACACTCCCTACAAGTCCAACCAGCACTTTTCACATTGAGTTTTGATTCTGAGTTGTCTTCTGCCCTTGTGTCCTTCCTTGGCGAAGAGGTATGGGAAGTACCATTGGCTACTGACAACTCCTTTGGTGGTGTAACAACCTGGCTGCTAGATGTTGTCTCGGGCTTCTGCCGAAGGTTAGAGACATCCTCAGGATTTGGGGGGACCCCATGAACAGCCTGATTAGCAATAAGGGAATAGAGCATCAGAATCAAACACAGTTCAAATAACATAGCACTAAGGTACTCCTAAATCCTCACCAAGCTTCTGCCCTTGAAATAAGCTATAAAGTTCTGCCTGACAGAAGAGTTGTTCGAGAAGCACTGCTAATAATGTATGATATTGTATATTTGGCTCCCCATCTTGAGATCACAACATGCTTTATGAACATGAATTAATACCTGTTCCCCTACTAGGTAGGTCAGAGTATTTCTACCATTTTTAATATGAGGAAATTCAGACACACAAGTGCAGTGACTAGAGTGTGGAGCCAGTAAAAGAACCCAGATGTCATAACTCCCAATCTTGTGCCTTAATCATTCAAAGGCATGAAAGGTCTTCAAAAAATTGATTCCATTGTCTAATCTGCAAGCAGGACATATCATGAAAGGTTGACTCTCTGATTAATTCCCTTATTCCGTACAAAGAATCAAACCAGGCAGCTGCTGTAACTTCTGGATTGATAACCAGGGCCCTGTCTTGATGAGCAAAAAGAGTGTGATTTTCAATCATGTTAGTTCAATAAGCCAACTTCATATGACTAAAAAGCCCACTTCAATTCAATTCTAAGTCTCAACTAAGGCACACAAAGTCATTAATAAAAGACAACTGGTTAAAGCATGAGAATTAGAATCAGGAGGCCTGGATGCTATAGCAGGATCTGCCACAGACAAGTCGCTTGGCTTGGAATTTTTCAAAAGGAGTTGGATACCCTTTGAGACTTTCATGGGGTGGTTGAAAATAACAGCCTTATCCACTGTCATGCCTCAGTTTCCACAGCTGTTAAATGATGATACTAATATTTACCTGCATCACAGGTAAACTTTAACCCAGTGTCTGCAAAACATTCATTTTCAAATGAAAGGTGTAAGGGAAGAGCAAAGTATTACTCATGAATGTTTTACTCTATTGGGGAGTGAACTACCCATTTATTTGCCTTCCAAGGCATGGCTATAAACAAAATGAAGAAAAGGACTTCAAAAACTCTGGCAATGTTCTTTGCTATAAATAAATGGTCCAGATTCACATTTCTCAATGGAACTTTATCTATAAAAGAGACTGTTACATGGAAAACAATGAGGTTTTCATGGCTATAAAACTGCTTCTGAACTTATTGGGATAGTACAAATATTGGCATGTAAATTAAGAAATAATAAAACAAAAATGCTTCTTTACAGATCATGTAGTCTCTCTCAGATTCAGCTGCAAGACATTCTGTGGTGGGATAATTTCTTTACCAATAATGTTATTTCTAGATAGCCATCTAAGATAGTGGTGATCAAATCTCATTTTCTTGATATAAACAGAATGCTGCTTTGAATTGATCAAAACCACCCGAATCAAAACTCTGTTCAATAGCTTCATTAGTCAAAAATTTTCATTAACATTTTTCAAAAAAAGTTGACATTTTATTGATAAAAACCTTAAATCTTTGGTTTTCAGTTGCTGACTTTGTTTTTAGGTTTTTTTAATTAAAAACAAAAAAAGTGAAAATATGATGTTTTTAAAATTCAAACATATTGCAGAAAGATTTTCATCCAGCTCTTACTGCTGCCTTGATAAGGAAGAAATGAACAACCCCTACAGCATGAACAACATGGAACAGCTTGACAGCTGTAGTATAAGGCCGAGGATTTGGCACTTGACATGATGAACTAATACAAACAAAATGTGATGAACCAAATCCCTTCTTTTATGTAATATCTATTCATGTAATGTACAAGGAAAATAACCACAGAAAATATAAAATACTGCTAGAAATAGAAATGTTTCTAAGTGGAATGTATTTCACATTTTTCAGTCTGTCCTCAAAAAAATCTTTAAAAGCCTCCTCCTTAGTTACACGTGAAGTATTTAAACACTTACACTTTCCTTTGCTTCAATATAAAACTGCCAACCCAACCCCAAGTTTTAATTTTATTTTTTTAAATTAGCTTGTCTCAATAGATAGAAAAAACAATAAAACGGGTACTTAGCTAGCTGTTTAATTACCAAATATACCAAAAAAATGTCAGTGATGTAAAAAGAAGTTACTGATCTTATCTGGTAACTGGAGTTTTTTGAGAGGCTGGGTTAAGACATGCAGAGGCACTAAACTATGTCAAGTGTGAGAGGCCCCTTAGCATCATCAAAAATGGATATTATTCTAACAGAAAGGACAACAAAAACAGAAATGAGAAAGTTTTATATTTCCATATATATTGGTACACAGGGGAGGATGCAACTAAAAACTAGTAATGGGTTTGTATTTAAGAGGCCCAGCATAATCAGAGGCCTAAAGTGTGGTAGTCGGCATGCCTTCTTTGCATCCGACACAGGAAAATATTTGCTTGCAGTGTGTTAATCTATACCCGTGCTCCTCCTCTCCTCATGTTGGACCAAGGGCAGAAAGGGCAACATGGGCCAAGAGCCAGGAAGTTCTCTCTCTAGCATAAGTGTACATCATCTGAAGCAGAAAGGAGGGCAGGTAGTGGAATGCAGATCATGAGCACAGAACTCCAGTTGCTGTAAATGGTAAGTAATGCCACTGCTGTAAGTGCCCATCCCTATGTCTATTCCACTGTGGGTGACCGACAAGCTGTCCACACTGAGAAGGCTGTGAGGACCTATGCAGTATTGAGGATTCAAGGGCCACCTACTGAAAGGATACACCAGCTGCAGAGGCTTGCATAATGTCTTGTGAAAGCATGTATACAGCTCCGTATTGCTGCTTCCCAGATGTTAGTGAGTAGCACTTCATGAAATGAGGCTACAAAAGTTGCTCTGACTCTGGTAGAGTGGGCCCTCTTGCCTTGAGGGGGACAGGATAAGCTAAGTGATCGCACAGAACAATACCTTGAAATCCACTTGGAAAATCTCTGAGAAGAGATCCCCTGTTTCTTCATTCATTCTGCCAATCCAGGCAATTTAAGTGATTTTTTTAAATGTAACATTAATGCCCAGCACAAACCCAGGGAATACAGTCTCTTCTCCTTCCCTTCGTGTGACTTGGGCAAAGAGGTGTATTGTCTGATTTAGATGAAAGGCTGAAGAATTTTGATGGCATAGATCACATTAGTGAATGTGCAGTTAAAAGAGCCTCTGATTTGGTGGCTGGTGTGGTTGGGTCCAGTGATGAAATTGCTTGTGTAGATGTGTGGGCAGAGTTGGCATCGGGGCGGATTGCATGGGTGGGTTTCTGGATGATTATGATGGAGGAGTGTTGCATGGTTACTGGAAAGAATTTGTTTGAGGTCAGGGGGTTGTCTGTAGAGACTGTCCAATTTGGTTCTACTAGACTATAAAAGTAATGGTTTGGAAAGTTAATTAATGCAAGTTAAGATCCCATGTGGGAGCGCTAATGTGACTGTATTGAGGCAGCTGCCCCATTCTGGCTGGGAAGGGGTTAAAGCAGGCTGGAGGGAGCCTGCACAGAACCCCGACCCATCAGGGAGAGGCTTTTAAGAAGCCAGCAAGAAGGCAGCGTTCTGGGGCAGTGCTGTATACAAGGAACTGCTCAGCAGAGAAGAGTTGGGTCCTAACTAGGTAGGGTGCAGGACTGGTTCTGGGACTGGACACAATGACCTCTTGAGGTACTTTCCAGTTCCTGCATTCTAGGATTCTATGACAACAATCAGGAGAGCAGTAAATAACGAAGAGGACAGATCACTTATTCAGAGTGATCTGGATCACCTTGTAAGCTGGGCACAAGCAAACAAGACGCATTGTAATACGGCTAAACATAAATGTATACATCTAGGAGCAACGAACGTAGGCCATATTTACAGGGTGGGAAGTAATGACTCAGATTTGGCCTTGTGGTGGGTAATTAGCTGAACCCGTGCCCTCAGTGTGACAAGGTGCCCAAATAGCTAATGCACACCTGGGATGGATAGACGGGGAGGGGGAGGAAGAGAGGTGTGGAGGTGTGATTTCCAATTAAAGTGTACTGCTGATTCAGGATGCTGTGTGTGTGGATCCTATAGTCCCTCACAGTCAATATAGATTTAAGGAGGTCTTCAAAGCACAATTTAAAAACAGTCCTGGGGAAGGGAGCCTCATCTTAGGGGGTCATGGCAGGGCCTAGAGGATCCAGAACCTTCTATCGGGGATGACATCTCTTAGAAGAGGTTTTGACAGTCCTTCCCCATGTCGCATTTTCCCGAAGAGGGAAAATGTGGGGTCCCGTTCCACTGGCTTGTGCTGCCAGTACCATCTCTGTGGAAATGCGTCTGGTAGAGCATCCCTCATAGCATTCATGGACCAACGGTTTGAGAATCTAGCAGGTAAGGACCAGGACCAGGAGCACTACGAGGCAATGCTCTGGATCTAGAAGGATGACTATACTCTCTGAAGTACAGTCATCAATGTGAAAACTCTTCTCCCTGTTTACTTGCAGCTGGCATGGAAAGGCCCTTGGAACTCAGTGTTTGCTTATGTGGGGACAGTATGTGGGACAGAGGGAGCATGTGGTTCTCAGATATCCAGGCCCTGGCTTCTCTCGCCCCTTGGTCCGTACCAATGGTTCTGCTCCTGTCAACAATGTCAATGCAGAGGCACCCTTACTCTTTGGAGTCCATGTTATTACCATGACCCCTAACTGGCTCTTCAGCCTCCCAGAACTGGGTGTGAACGGGTTGGGTCAACAGTCCTTCTCAGAGTGAGATCTCTCTCTAGGCTTCTGAAAGTGCCCCCCACCCTTACTGTACACCCAGGAACAGTCTTAGTGCTACCTTTCTGTGCCCCTGTATGAGATGTGGGAGAGCTAGGCTTTGCCCCACATGCAAGGTGGGGTTTACTTGAACTGAAGCCTCATAGTATTCTCTGTTAGAGGTCTTCTACATCTGAACGCCTGTGGATTGGGAAAGGATGGGAGATATGGCTTTCAGGAGATGTATGAGCTTCTCCAAGATAGAAGAGGCTTCCCTGTAGGTAGCAATTTACTGAAAAGAAATGGGGACAGGAGATGCCCTTCTTGAAGGTCAGATTCCTGGGCATAATCTGCATCCCACACCCAAGGAGGGAGGGGATGGAAGCAGACAGAAAGGAGTTGTTCCAAATGCTAACCAACCAAAATAACTAACAAAAGATTCTGTTTTACAATATTTACAGGTTCGAAGGTGGCGGGACAGTTCTGTGGACACTGGAAGGTTCCATCTGAGATCATGGTGTGGCAGAAAGGAACCGGAGAGGCAATCAGGCCCTACTTAGTCCTGAGTATGAGGAGAGAAAGCACACAGGTGTAGACCAAAGACAAATCTCACCAACAGAAAGCAAAAATTTTCAGTATCAGGTTCACAAAGCACTCTCACAGTGGAATATACAAAGAGGCCAGTATTTGAAGGAGTACTCTGTCCAATTCTGGGAGCTGCACTTTAGGAAAGATGTGGACAAATTGGAGAGTCCCAAGGAAAGCAACAAAAAGGATGATGGGTTTAGAAAACCTTACCTATAAGGAAAAGTCTTTAAAAAAGGGTATGTTTAGTCTTGGGAAAAGAAGAGTGGGGAGGGAGGGACCGATGAACCTTCAAATAAGTGAAAGATTGTTATAAAGAGGATGATGATAATTGTTCTGCACATCCACTGCAGGTAGAGCAGTTTGTAATGGGCTTAATCTGCAGCAATGGAGAGTTGAGATAAATAGATAGGAAAAAATTCTAATTCTAAGGATAGGCAAAACACTAGAACAGGGAGGTTCAAGGGAGGTTGTGTGATCCCCGTCCTGGAGGTTTTAAAGAACAAGTTGAACAGACACCTGTCAGGGATGGTCTACTTTTAATTGTTCCTGCTTCAGCACAGGGGACTGGACTTGATGACCCTCAAGTTCCCTTCTGAGCCTACATTTCTATGATTATAGAACATCTCTACTATGAAATGTACTAGTGTTACCCAAACTTGCATAGAGAATTTTTACTTTACTCCACCATGCCTCCTGGCAAAAATTGCAAACATAAAACAAAACTCCACCACTTCTTCTAGCTCCTGCTCTCTGAGTCATTTCTGCCTGTATACAGACACACACAAAAACAGGGCTCTATGCTGTCAGTAAAGTCAGATTCAGCTACCTACCTTGACATGCTGCATTAACTGCTGTTTCTGCATATACACTAATTGACACTGCGGACACTTAAATACTCCCACCAACAGCTTGTTGGCATTCTGCTGGAAGTGCTCTTGGAGCAGCTTCTTCTTGTTAAAGACAGTCTCACAAGAACATTTGTAGATAACCCTGGAACAATTTTAAAAAAATAAAATTCATGCTCAGTTTATGAACTAGTTTGAAAAGACCTTAGGCAAAAGAAATCTCAGATTCAATCTTGGAAAGGGAAGCTATTTATCAGAGAATGGCCTTCTCTCAATGAGCTGCCTGCACATACCCAGGTGTTCTGCTTATACGCTCAACAAGCAGCAGAGGCCCCAGAACTATTTCAAGTAATTCGTTGGAAGGGCTGAATGCATCAGGCACATGTTAGGTGTTCTAAAAAGAGGACCCATTAAGCCCTGTCTGGATTGGGAGGGGAACCACGGATGTACAGAGGGAATTTATTCAGAGAACATGTTACTTCCCACCAATCTGCTTCCCACACCCCCAAGCTCTTTCAGCCATGGCTAGAGGGGAAGGAGGAAAGGCTGCAGAATGAACAACAGAGGAGAGTTTCTCCTGCTTTTGTAGGCAATGGCACCCCCATCATCCAGATGCCAAAGGAGCCAGCTATAGTGCAAACTCCTTGCCACTAGATGCCACTCTTGTTCATGGGCAGGCAGAAGGTCACAGTTGAGAGTCCCTTGCTGGAGCTGCTCACTCTCTCCCTATCCCTCCATCTCCAATCTAAAAAGGCTCTGAGTTCAGGGCAGGAAACTTTGGCTTGGCAGAGCCTGAGTTCCCGGCTAACAGCAAAAGTAGCAGCTTTATCCTCCTCTTCTTTCTCCGAGTGTGACAGGTAAAGGAAGGAGAAGAAGAGGAGGAGACGTGGAAGTGGGAGAGAATGTCAGTTCCAGAGTCATCCAGTGGCTAACACAGTCTGCACAAAACATCCAGCAAACCGTAAAGTGAGCAAATGCTTCCAAACGCTCAGGGCACTTACTGAGTAGTCTTGTGAGGCTCTTCTGGATGCTGGCTAGTAATATGAGCAGTGGTGCTGTCTGCAGATTTGAAGGCCATTGGACAGAAAGAACATTTGTGGAAGACTTCGCAGTGTTTCTCGTGAATGTGCACTTTCAGCATAGCTAGCGACATAAAGACAACGCCACAGTGGATACACCTGGAAGGCAGAGGGGTAAAATAAATCTGCATTACAAACACCAGGCATCTCTTCTCTGCAACTTCAAATGGAAACACAAGAGTGAAGAGCACCAGGATACTGTGACAGCTCTCATACGACCTCTTCAGTAGTGGTCTCCAGTAAGGGGCAGTAAGCAGAAAGTCAAAGGAATTCATGAATCATACAATGCTGTGGAATGTCCATCATTTGTGAGAAAGAAATAATGCAAAAGGGGCTTAGAGAAACTAAGAATACAGGGAAGAACAAAATGTGATTCAGCTTAGAAAAATGCAACTAATAAATCTGGAGAAAATGATCCATATCACAGCTTGTCACAAGAAACCTAAGAGAGTAAAAAACAGTAAACACCACTACAATGCAGCTCAATCTGGCAGTAATAAAAGGTATTTTGGTTTTCAGTTGGAATATCATATGTCCCCACCTATACAACTCTGAAGAGACTGTCTCTAGTATTGCACCAGGCACTTCAGTACCAGCAACATGGACACAAACTGAGGGAGAAAAACAAAAATACTGAAGAGGTTGAAATGACTGGGAGGGCACAGGTCTGCTGGAAAAAGAGCAAAGATCAGCCTCCAGGGACAGTACACCCAGCCCACCTCTCTGCATCTGACTTTCTTCACCACTAAGGCTATGGCTATAGTACAATGCTTACACTGGCAAAGCTGCATCCACACAGCTTTGCCAGTAGTACCAGGCATGAACAACTGTGTGTGACAACCATAGGGCTTGTCTACACTTACAACACTATCTGGGTGCAGCTGCTCTGCTGTAGCACTTAGTGAAGAGGCTACCTACGCCAATGAGGAGTCTCTCTTATTGGCATAGATACGCCACCTCCTGGAGAGGGGGGCAGCTATGTGAGTGGGAGAAGCCCTGTCAGCGAGACAGCACTGTTCACACTGGGCGTTTGGTCAGCATGAGTCGGTTGCTCAGGGGTGTGGAAACTGACGTAAGTTGGAAGTGCTGATCAAGCCTAACTCTGTCACTGGAATGCCAGCCTCCAGCAGCCTCTCCTAACTCCCACCACTTCAAATAAACCAGGCTATGACACCGTCTGATCTGTTCCTCTGCACTGCTCTGGAAACCGCATCCACTCAGGTTTGGCGTCAGGTATGTTATGTGTAGACCCTGGCCCTAACAGTGGTTGTATGTATGTATTTCCCAGGTTTCTTCATTTTAGAAAAGATCTCTAACACACCAGCAGGAAACAGGATCTTCACAGCACTGACCAGCCACTCAAGGGCTTGTGGAAATAGCTCTCTCAAAGCTCCTCATCTGCAGTGCACAAGAATGCTGCTCAAGTAGATACAAGCAGCCAGTGTGCTGTGACCACTGCTTTTCAAGTTGGATAGTCTTGGCTCGTTGTTTCCCAATCCTCTTATCTGCTTGTTGTCTCCATCTGTTGTCTCGTCCTGTTTTTGGATTTTTAGCTCCATGGTGTAGGAATCCTCTTTTTGTTCTGGTCTGATGTGTACAATGCCTAGCGCGATGCATTCTTGGTTTATGATTGAGGTTCTTAGCTGCTAATTTAAAAATCCCTTGTAGTGGGCCTCAACATCAAAGAAGGGGTAGGGATTCACACAGAACTAACAGCAACAATGGTGACCTCACTGCTCCCCTGTACTTTCACAAAAATCCTGTTCTTTCTAAAATGAACTGCTTACTCAAAGATTTTCCTCTAGGACACAACACAAATGATGCTGCCATACAAAATCCCCTTCACAGTGGTAAACATGGGAACAAGGGGATATTACCACAAAGCATCTACAAAAGGCACATGCATTCAGGAAGCAATCCAAATGTCACACTGGAGAACAAAGGTAGGTGATGAAACATGCTATTTGACAGCTCTCTGTTCCAGCTTTCCAGTTATGAGAAAAATTACAATTATTTGTTCCTTTTTGTAATAAATTTGAAATTGTTACCAGTACCCTGTGAATTCCTGCAGCCCTGAAAACAACAGCAGAATTCACCCCCCCGCCTCAGAAGTGTGATTCAGAATCTCACAGTTCATTGTAAAGTTTTTGGCCCTCCGGGTTGCAAAAGAAAAAACACAATCTCTCTACTATTATCTTAATAGGCTTTCAACTTCAACATTTAAAAGAGTGGCATATTCCTGAAAAATAGTGTGAACAGATAGTGCAAAATAAATTGAATTTAATATGAAAACAGCAGAGGAATGCAATGGATTACTATTTACTTTTATACTTAATTCAGTAAAAATCTTTATTTTATAAATTTATTGGCATCAGTTACAGAATTTCCAGAGTGCTGTAGAATCTATGGACTCTAGATCCATGAGGCCACAGAGTACACAAAATGTTGTATACTGCAAGGCATGCTAAATTTCATAGAACAAGACTTTCTACTATATTCTTGCAATCCAAAGGGACTTGAAAGCCATCAGATTTGTCTAGCTGAGAATTCGTCTAGCATGGGGGAGCTTGCAGCTGGCATGAAGATATGTACCTGGTTTCTATGTGAACCACTCAGCCCATATGAATGAAAGGAGGTAGAGAGGGGGCATGACTAGGATACTGCTGCATCTGGCACTTTATGATCTGTCTGGTACCACAGTTAGCTTGTCTGAAGTATGAGCGGCTCTTAGATTACTCTAACCTACTCCAGGAATGGTACACATATGCAAAAATAATCTGGGTAACAAAGAAAAACCCACACAGGCCTATGCCAGCCAATCTGTGCTACAGACATCTGGTTTAGAGCTGGGTGGGTCATTCCCAGAGTTCAGGCTTCATAAGGCTGAAACAGCCCTGCAGCCTGAGTCAGCTGGCACAGACCAACCATGGGTTTTTCTTTGTTGTGTAAACATACCTTCAGGAAGCTGTAATCAGCTCCTGGATACACACTTCATTGAACCAAATGGATCTTACAATCTTGCAAATATCTGTGTGGTACGTATCTGAAAAACAAAATTCTTCAGCAGATTTGTGGAAGATCCTTATTTTGGAGAACATGGCTGTGATGTTAAATTCCCTAGTTATAGAGATAGCCAGGTATTATTGTTGAAAGCACATATCTTTCTAAATAGAAAGCTGACGGTAAAAAATAAATTTGAGCTTGAGTGGGACTGATGCTTCCAGGTATAACACTGGAAAGATTTCGGGGCCAATGTTTTCAAAAGAGCCAATTTATTTTCTTTTGAAGTGAGCTCAAATTCATTTCAGTGCTCAGAAATGATTTCCAATAGCTTTGATTTACTGTCATCTTTGTCTCATTACATATTTTTAAACCTGTTTTGCTTCTTCAGAATGCTTTCCTTAGTTGAGTTGTGCGCGCAATTATGAACCCAAATAAACAGGCTTTATCAATTTTTCAAACTGGTGGCAGGAAGTGATCTTCATGATATTAATATATTAAAAATCTTTTAATGAGATTCTGGATTCAGCTTTTGTAACCCCTCGCACCTCAATCTGCCTAATTTTCTCTAACAGATCATGAAAAATCTGTCTTCTTTCCAAAGAGCTGACATGGGATTCCATTTTTCCTCACATTCCCAGACAGACCCTTTGAAGCAGCACAAACCTGTAGCCAACTTTGCGAGAGTAATGTAGGCAATTCTCCTTGACATGGGTTTGGAAATAGGCTGATCGGCACAACGTTCCACACTCTGGGCAGCAGTAGGGGGACTTGTGAGTATGGATTCTTTGATGAGCACAGTAGCAGCACTGGTTAGGCAGCATCATCTGGCACACTTGACAAGTCTGGAGAAAGAAAATAAAATCATTAACCATTTATTCTACACAATTGTTTTCTTAGGTGCTCTAATTTAATCCTAGAATCATTGGGATTGGAAGGGAATTAAACGATCCCTGGTTTTGCCTAGTATCTCTCTACTGATAGAGATTCCACTGGCCCTTGGCCACTTCTTCCATTGTCAAGACGATTACAGTGGGACCGCCCATTCCAAGACCATGGCTTCTTGTGTCACTCAATTCCTCAAAACCCATGAGACAGAAATGTTCTATATTTAGGCTCTTCCTCAGAATAAGCTATTTTGCAAAATTTCTGCAAAAACTTTTCAATCATCTTTTGAATAGGTGGTGAGGAGGAGGAGTAAAAGAATTAATCGTTCCCATTATAAAAATACCTTGCTTTTAAAGACCGCTCTAATGCTGAAGTCACTTGGGTAAAATGTTGGAATTTGGCAGAGAAATACAGGCAGTCCCCGGGTTACATGGATCCGACTTACATCGGATCCCTACTTACAAACGGGGCGGGGCAACCCCGCACTAGCTGCTTCCCCCCCCGCAGACCAGGGAGACGCACCGCGGTCCCGCCGCCCGCGTCCTCCGCGGCGAGAAAAGCCGCTCTGCATCTCCCTGGTCTGCAGGACTGAGGGAAGTGAGGTGTGGGAGAATAAAACTGAGCTCTGGATAAATGTTTGGCTAGAGTTTCCCCTACAATATGTACCAGTTCCGACTTACATACAAATTCAACTTAAGAATAAACCTACAGTCCCTATCTTGTACATAACCCGGGGTGTGCCTGTAGTGATCACAGAGAAATGCATTTGAATGTCTCTAGGAAAACGGCTCTAGACTTTGACAATTATGAGCCTTCAGAAATTACCTACCATACATGCTGTACAATGTGCAAGGTTTTCTTACTAATCTTGTACAGCGTGAAACTAACGAAGGAAAGAAAGTACACACATGCAAGAGTAACTGGGCTACACTTTGAAGGAGCCCCCTTTCCTCAGTTTCTGCAGATGTTATGGAGCCTAGCACTCCTGGCTGTGCATCTGGAAAAAAGGAGCACTATTGTGTGTGTGTGTGTGTGTGTGTGTGTGTGTGTGTGTGTGTGTGTGTGTGTGTGTGTGTGTGTGTGTGTGTTTAGAAGCACAGGTGTGCAGGGAAATTGCCAGGAGTTTGCTATGTATGTTTTCTACACAAACATGGTTTCAAACTCAATGGCTCCAAAACGCCTCAACTCCAGGCTCCAGCAACCCCAACTCCTCTCATTTCCCCCAACAGACTCAAGGACAGATGACAACCTGTTCAGGAGAAGAGCTGGGAAATGCCTTAGCATGTGTACAGCTTTGGTAGATGTCTGCCATGCAGAGCTCTGCTATGTTATATTTAGTGGCTCGATATGCCTATGCTTCAAGCTGTTTAAGATTCAACTTCATAACATGCTTGGGAGTGTTCTGACTGAGTCCAGCTAAATTACTTTAGACTATTGAATTCTTATTTTCTAACCATTTTTAAAAAAAGCCTTGGAAACACCATGAAAGAAAAAAAAAAGTGACATGAAACATTAAAAGGACACACTGAAATTCTCATAAGTAGGCCTGGAAAAACTCTTTCAACAAGTTGGCCATAATTTTGAAACACTGTTTATATTTTTACCCAGTTAAATTGCCAAAATTAAGCAAAATTATTGGTTTTAAGCTTTTATTATTTTTATCAATTTAAATGTTCATTGTTGTGGGAAATTATGGGGAAGTAAGAATTAGTTAATAAGTTAAAACGGACAGCTAACACACAAATTGTCAACACGACTTGTCAAAATACATAGAATAATTTTCCCTAAATCAAAGTTCTCAAGCAGCATTTGTCTTACGTTGCGTGTCTGTAAATTACAATAATCAATGGAAATATTTTTATTGATTTGTGCGTGTAAAATGAAACTGACCTTTATAGACATTTACTAACAAAAATCAAATGCTTCCAAGACTAGTTATAAACCAGTACACACCTCAAGTTCTGGCTACACACACTGCCTTAATCCTGCCTCCTTGTGGGTGTGTATGGATCTGTATTTATAGTACCACAAGCTATTTCTACAATACAACATACAATTGTTTTTTCCTGCGTCCTTAGATACAATGTGCAACATTAGTTTTGTGTATGTCAGAGTCCTTGGTACTATAGATTAACTATAAAGTGCAACAATAGTGAAAATGAACTGGTGTATACAATCCACCTAAATTGATAGCTATGTTAGTATCATAATTATCTTGGATCTCTTACCAATGACAACACTTGTAGCCAATCCTGTAATAAACTAAAGATTTATTAATTAGGAAAAAGTTATTTACACAGTTCAAATAGGTAAAATATATACACACAAATGAATTTCAGTAGTTTCAAAAGGATATAAACATTGCTCTAATATGCAAGTTTTAAGTCTTTTAGCACTAAGCTTGGAGACCCCTTGCATATGCTTAGAAACATTGCACTCTATGAACTCCAAGCAGCACAGGGATAATTTTTCTTGACAGGAATTTTTATCCCCTTCTCCCAGAGTTCGAGCTGAGGAGAATTTCTGCACATCTCCACTTCCTGGGTTTGTGGGGAGCAATCAAAGTCTTTTGTCCACGGATGTTCCACAATGGCTTCTTTGATGTCAAGAGGCCTTCTATTGTTGGGTAAGGGATGACCCCTCTTGTGGTAAACTAGTGTTTCACATTTAGCAATGTTTTCCTTCTGGCCGTGTGGATTTACAGTTTTAGAGCAAACAAACAAAGCAAACACTTCAACACCTGATGGCATAGAATAGAGATTTATAAGTAAGATTAACTCATGCAGCAACTTAGAAGCATTAACACTAAACAGTCTTTTGCTGGGACCTGGCATGCCAGCATGTCCCTATATATTTGTATACAGTTAGTGACAAAATTAAATACATGCAGCAGACAATAAAATAGATAATGTATAATATAAAAAGCTTACTTCAGAAAAAAGGTATTAGACCATTACCATAATGAAATAAATGTAAAATTAACAGAATTAAAACCATTACAAGTTGCTGCACAACCATACGTAAAGTTGTAAACAACTTCATTGTTATATCATTGTGATGGGTTGGATCACTGAGGTCCCCTGGGGACTATCACCTGATGTGCTGGTTATACCACTGAGTCAGCCAGACTACCCTCTGGAGCACCCACCACCCTCTCCTGCTGGGCCAGAAGCTCTGGTTACCACAGTTCTGTGCCTTGGCTGGGTTGAACAGATACTGAACCAGATCACCTTGGGAAGTTTCAGTTACAGGAACGTTAACAGTAACGAGGAGCCCAGCCCTAAGAGGACCAAAACCCTAAATAAATCCATCTTACTCTGCTTAAAAGTTTTACACAGAGAACGTTCATAAGGTCAGTCCTACTTATCATGAGAGATATGTACAGCTGTGGCTCCCCCTCCCCCAGGTAGCAATGATTTACACTGGACTTGATCATAAACCAGTGTCATTAAGTATAAAATGAAGGATTTAAGCGATAGCAAGTGAAAGCAGACAGATCGAAGTAAGTTCCTAAGCCAAAACAAACAAAACATGCCCATTAAGACTAATACACTAGTATTCCTTGCCCTTGTCTTTATTTAGGTAAAAGTGCTCAAGACCATTGATTTTTTGTTTGGCCTAAGTCTATAGCTTTGTGTGTCTTTAGAGTTCTTTGTTTTCAGATTTCTTCATGTGTCCCCTCTTTGGGTGGGGAGGCAATATCAAAAGCTAGCTGAAGACATTGATTGTTGTACATTCTTTCAATAGGTTTCCCACCCCGGGGGAAGTCTTTATTTTAATCTCTCCCATGGAAAAATACCAGATTCAAGATGGATTCCAGCATAGTAACATATCATTCTAGGACTATCTATAGTTTGGGCCTACAGGAAAAACAAAGCTATTCGTAGGTCATTACCTTGAGCACCATTAAGATTTTAAGTATCAGGAATGGCTCTCCATACCAATTCTAAATCAATAAGCAGGTTTACATGTCATTTCTAACATCACAAAGAACAGTACATGCACAGAAATAGAATAGACACCTTCAGCAGATCATAACTATAAACAGGGCTCGACAATCTATTGAATCTACTTGCCCAGTGCGAGTAGATTTCAGCCTGGCGCCCCATTTACCGGCAGCACACGCATGCGCAATGCGGCTCTTGTGCATGCACAGCTGGCGAGTGGCTTTCGCCATGGTTCTTCAAGCCCTGACTATAAAGATATGTCACGTGATCCATGTCTTTGAATTCTGAATATTCGTAAGCCAATTTTCATAAAGCATGGGAGGGCTGTGAATCACAGGTGAAAAATAGCATGAATTTTGTCACAAAATACTATTTCACATGGTTTGTCTGGAAATGGGTGATGGGAGGGATCACGTAAGGATTGCTTGTTGTATTCCCTCCCTCTGGGGCATCTGGTATTGGCCACTGTCGGCAGACAGGATACTGGGTGAGATGGACCATTGGTCTGACCCAGTATGGCCGTTCTTATGGCAAAAGGTGGCAGATTTTTTTTAAACACTTTGGAGGCCTTAACCGTGCATCTGTAAAATATTCTTATGTAGTTTTATCTAATGGAATTAATAGCACTGATAGTTGAGGCCATTAGAAGACCCTTGCTTTTAGTTGCTCATACCCATAAGAAACAACCCATCAAGGGTGAAGTTTTCTGTGCTTAGTCTCTGCCTCAGATTAATTTTTTTTTTTTAGGAAAGTCTGAGAAAAATGGTGCATCTGTTTTCAAGAATGTTAAAATTGACTGCCTTTCCCTTCCTAGCCCCCCAACTCCAGAACCTTCAGAATCTGACAAAGAATTTGCAGTGGGCACATGGGTAGTCCTTATGACTTCAGCAACATGTGGAGTACTTTGGTTCTGAGCCAATACAACAATTTTAAGCACAAGAGTGGACCCACTGAATGGACTAACCACATGCTTAATTTTAAGAGTATGGTATGTGCTTAAGAGGTTTGCTGGTTCAGTGCCTGAGCACTCTGCCCCTTTCAGGATTAAGTCCAAACTCACTATTTGCATTTGCACAGCAGAACTTGCTCCCTTAATACTCGGAATGTTCCAACTGAACTAGCCTGGCATGGTTGTCCCTCTTACATATCAACAAGTCAATTGTTCCTGCTCATCAGCAAAAATGGTCTTTGACTTGCGGGAGAGCGCCCTGGAATGGGAGCCATGTCATCAAGAGGGGCCTTCTATCAGAGGTTTGGAACAGAAACAGAACACAGGTGTGTAATAAAGCAGCCCTAAATCTGATCCACATGGTCACAATACCTCTCAGAATAAACAGGCCAGATCTACGTGCTTAGCTGTGGGGAGATGGTATCCTGTCTCTGACAGCGCACAGCACCAGATGCTTCAAAAGAAAGTGCAAAACCCTTGACATCGTCAACGATGCAATAACCCCCCCAAATATTACTCAACTCTTCTGTCAGAAATTAGCTTATGCACTAGCTTTTTCTTCATTTGTTTTTTATTATTTATTGTAACTGAGTGCTCTCATTATCAATATAACTACCTACACCATTTTTTAACCTCAATTTATGGCAGTGAGTTTCATGGGCTAATTGTGTGTTCTGTTAATACTGGTAAAATAGTTTTTAAAATCTGCTGCCTTTCAGTCTTATTAAATATCCCCTTACAAAGTTATACTTACATAGAGCCTAATATCTAAAGGACCCATGCATAATAAAAGTCATAGTATTTCACCTAATAATTCCAGCAAAAAGCCCAACAAGTATTTGTGCTTGAACTTCAGTATATCTTTTAGAAAGACAACCAAGTGAAGAATTTAGAAATTTAAAGACTTGAGAAGAATTTACTAAGAATTTAAGTTCTTCCAATAAGTTATTATACACCACATTGTCCACACAAGACTTTTTACTGACTTAATAAATTGCCAATTGCTTACAGATGATAATGTGGACACTCAAACATTAGTATTTTACACTCGGAAGTGGACAGCATGCAACTTACAAGTATTTTAGCTGGAGTAATGGGTGATTTTTTAACAAATACTTGTACATCAGCTAGTGTGGTCACAGGCTCATCAGTACAAAGGTGCCTTGTGCTCATACAGCCGCTCCCCGAGTTATGACCAGCTCCACTTACGACCATCCGCACTTACGACTAAAGTGATCGTAAATGCGGATCTGAGTTATGAACGGCGAGCTGTGCTTACGAACAGGGTGGTCGCCATGTAACTATAGGATCCGAGTTACGAACACTTCGAGTTAGGGACCAAGTGTTGGTCCGTAACTTGTTCGTAACTCGGGGAGCAGCTGTAATTTACTCCTCTTGCCATATGGGAATAAGCATTTTTATACTGATATAACTACATTTTTATACGGATATAACTAGGGGAATCCTGTCAATTTCACTTTCACTGTATTGGTACAGTTGAAGTAGCACAATACAATTTATGTGGGAACAAGGCATGGGGCATAGAACAAATGTTTATATCCTTGAATATACATTTGGCAGCAGGAGTTCATGATAGCTTTTAAAGATGTATTATCCACTTTTAGTTAACTGGCAAACAATTTGGGTTAAAAAAGTCTAGTTTAGATACGCTCACTGATTAAAACCATGGTGCCTAACATGCCAGCCACTGTGGCTATCTGGCCAGTTGAGTGTGGCTAGTTCACTTCTGCCTTCTTTCAAGTAACGTAACAAGAGAATGTAACGACACCTAATACTACCTCATTATCACAGGGCTATCCATATGCTTTATGGCAATATCCTTAAGACTATGAAGGGATAAGGTAGTGGGGCGCCCCAAAAGGCAAGTTGGCAGGTTCAGTGATATTTCCAGCACAGTGATGATAGTCCCAACTCCCAAGGAGGTTCCTGTGACCAAACCTATCACCATTTCCCTGATATTTTTATTAAACAACATAGCAATTGTTACCTTAAGCCATATAAACTCCTCAAACAGCTTTTCCCTCTATCAAAGCACTTACACATCCAGGACAGGTAATCAATTATTTCTTTTACCTTTCAGCATGAACTGAATCCATCTTCGTGCTTACTGATTTGATTAAGATTTTCATTGAAACCACAACCAGTAAGTATTCTAACCAAAATCATTTCCTTTTTCCTATCTTGGCCTTGAAACATGTAATTATCCTCAACTCTAGGGGACAATTTAAAAAAATGGTCATTTTTCATTAATCCAATTTTTTTTGCCATTCCTCTTTTAAATGTTTGGTACCAGACTTCTGAATTCCTGTTTACTCAGGGATATTTGTGTGTCAATCTCTCTATTTCTTTCAGAGATTTTAGCTGCTTTTTTCAGCCACTTTGTTACCAGTTATCCTGATATGTGCTGGGATCTAAGCTAATGCTTCATGTATCCCCATATGTACAAATCAGAAACATGATTTCATTGATTAAAACACTATTATTTACAAATACACCTTTTTATTGCCATATGATCTAGGGATGTTAGGAAGCGGGTATTTCACTAATCGGGTAGTCAACAGAATTTTTATCGACTACATGATTAATCGATAAGGGAAGGCACTCAGTCTCAACTCGCATCGGGTGTGGGAGCTACCCCTGCTGTGGCTCTGCAGTTTAAATGTAAGAGCTGCGCAGGCAGGCACCCCTACAACGTTTTTTACTGCAGAGCCACAGCAGGGGTAGCTCCTGGACCTGGACTGAGCCAAGCTTACTGAGACCCTCTGCGGACAGGGGCGGGGGGCAGAGGTTGCTTCTGATAGAGGCAGCAGCTCAGGGGAAGGCAGGCAGCTCTGCGGTGACAGTGCTGGGGGGAACCGGCTTTTAAGCCTGCTTCCCTCACCTTGCTGCCTCTGATACAGACCAAGGCAGCAGGGGAGAGGAAATGTGAGTAGTAGACTCAACTGACCAATAAAAGCCTAGGCTCATCGGTTAGTCAACTACTCACTTACATCCCTAATATGATCTGATACTGAGTCTGAAAAAATGACCGCCGCTGCAGTTTAACACTAGCATTACTAGCATAACACTAGCTCAGCTGTCATGACAGCCACAAAAATGGATATTCTTCCACATGCATTAATTCCAAATTCTGGTATAAAATAAACTATCTTCACTCTTCCTATTTTTCCATTTTTTGGACTCACCTATGTATTTTCAAAAACAACTCCACTTTTCATATAGTGGCACACTTCAGTTTTTATACCTATAGGCTGTGTCTAGATTGCACCCCTTTTTCATAAAAGGGATGCAAATTAGACACATCGCAATTGCAAATGAAGCGGGGATTTAAATCTTCCCCGGTTCATTTGCATAAACATGGCTGCCACTTTTTTCCGGCTCGGGGCTTTGCTGGCAAAAAGCACCAGTCTAGACACAGGTCTTTCAGAAAATAAAGCCTTTTCCGAAAGATCCCTTATTCCTCTTAAAATCAGGAATAAGGGATCTTTCGGAAAAGGCTTTATTTTCCCAAAGACCCGCGTCTAGAATGGCGCTTTTTGCCGGCAAAGCTCCGAGCTGGAAAAAAAGCGGCAGCCGTGTTTATGCAAATGAAGCAGGGAAGATTTAAATTCCTGCTTCATTTGCAATTGCGCTGTGTCTAATTTGCATCCCTTTTATGGAAAAGGGGTGCAATCTAGACATAGCCATAGTCTTCTACACTCTTAAGTTTATAAAATAATTGTAAAGCCACATTTGGACTGATGACTTTCCATCCATAACTTGTTTCCCCATGACTAAGTTTTGAGTTTAGCTTTTTCTTGTCTTTCAGTTCGGACATCCACATTTTAACTCAAATGGAATGCAGAGTTCTAACACTAGGTACTTAAGAATTCCCAATCAAAACTCATACATTTGGGTGGCAGTTTCATCACTGCGATTCCCTTTAATTTTGGCCCAGAAAGTAAGGTCTAGTAGTTTTACTCAGTGTAACTGGCATTTCACTAGAATATCTGTGTAGCATACCCATAGGTGTTGTAATAAATGCACCGCACACTGCTTTTAGTGCCTGGAATGTACTAAATCTAATTTTGCAAGTTTTTTATTTTTATGCTGACCTAAAACTTACCAATCTTAGTTGATAACTAAGTCACTCTCCCTCTAAACCACCTGCAGGGTTTTCTTATTAGCTCCCCAATTAGTCTGACCAATACTTTAAAGCACGCTGATCCTCCTTTTGCATTTATCCTTAACACAGAGTCTCTATGATCTTTTGAAAGTAACTGAATATCAAATATTACTCCGAGGGATTTAAATCTTAACTCTATCTAGTTATACTTCATAGAGAGACAGTGTACTCTCCTTTGTAGCTTTCCTTTTTATAAAGATCAATCCTTTGGTTTTAGCAGTGAGAACTTGACACCTCATGCATTTTCCCAGCCTGAAGTTTTTTGTAATGCTTTGTTGATTCTCCTTTCAAACTCCTCAGGTGTTCCTGCTCCTAACCCATAGAGCGCGATCATATGCAAATAGAGTGACACCTGCACCAGCATTTTGTATGTACAATACTATCATCATATTAAATAATGTAGGGCATATGACATAACATCCAATTCTAAGATGTATGGTCCATTTACTTGAAGAATGGATGGATTAGAGAATTTGCTCTCCTTATCAGTAGTTTGCCTTCTTTGTACAATATACCCTCCCTTCACAACATGTTACATGTTCTTCAATATCGTGAAACCTTTGTTTCACATACTACTTTTTAGTTTAGTTTTCAGTTAAACAATATGACTGATATTTCCTCTTCCTCGCCTAAAACCACGTTGAACCTTATGACATTGATTTCCAAATAGGCAAAGAGTCTTTCATTCATAATTCTCTCTGTAATTGTACTGAGACTTAGCATAGTGACAACTGGTCTATAGGCATCCACTTTTGTGGACAATTTGCCTTATTTTCTTACTTACATACTACTGCATATTTCCACCCTCCACAATCAATCCTTGTTTCCAGATAATAGTATATAAATTCCAAAAGAACCAAACTTCTATCAGGAAGATATCTAAACATTATCTATCTACCTATATATTTTAGAGCAATGGTCCCCTATGCAGTGCCCGCGGGCGCCATGGTGCCCGCCGGGGCATTTATGTGTGCCCGCCGAGTGACCAGGGCCAGCCCAAGCCATTCTCCCGGGGCACATGCACGGTGCTGCCCCCACGCACACAGTGCATGTGCGGCCCCACCCCAGGTGCATGCGCAGCCCCGCCTCCAGGCGCGCAGCAGCCCCAAAAGGTTGGGGACCACTGTTTTAGAGTGTTTGTCTGTCTGTTCAAGAACTCCTAAACAATAAGCGCTAGAGCCACCATATTTGGTAGGCAGCTTCCTCTAGAACCCAACATAAAGCAAGGTTGGGGTTGGTGGAACCAAAACAATTTGTAGCCCCAGGAAAAGAACAGTTTTCCATAACATGCAAAGCGAGGGGCTGTTTGGAGGGATGCAATATGAGAGTGGCCACTGGGGGCAGCAAGCCCACAGGGGAGAGCTATCCTGCAGTGTGCACTAGGGACAGCCCGTATCACCAAGACCAGGGATGCGCAATTTTTGTTGGGGGAGGCCATTCCAAGATTTTGGAAAGTGGTCAAGAGCTGTAATCTTCCATGACACTAATGGACAAGGTGCGGGGTCTGGGATGGAAGCTGGGTGCAGAAGAGTGGTTGGGGTAAGGGATAAGAACATAAGAACGGCCGTACTGGGTCAGACCAAAGGTCCATCTAGCCCAGTATCCTGTCTGCCAACAGTGGCCAGCACCAGGTGCCCCAGAGAAGGTGGACCGAAGACAATGATCAAGCAATTTGTCTCCTGCCATCCCTCTCCAGTCTCTGACAGACAGAGGCCAAGGACACCATTTTATCCCCTGGTTAATAGCCTTTTATGGACCTAACCTCCATGAAATTATCTAGCTTCTCTTTAAATGCTATTATAGTCCTAGCCTTCACAGCCTCCTCTGGCAAGGAGTTCCACAGGTTGACTACACGCTGTGTGAAGAAGAACTTTCTTTTATTAGTTTTAAACCTGCTCCCCATTAATGTCATTTGGTGTCCTGCTATTATAGTCCTAGCCTTCACAGCCTCCTCTGGCAAGGAGTTCCACAGGTTGACTACACGCTGTGTGAAGAAGAACTTTCTTTTATTAGTTTTAAACCTGCTCCCCATTAATTTCATTTGGTGTCCTCTAGTTCTTCTATTTAGGGAACTAATAAATAACTTTTCTTTATCGGCCCTCTCCACACCATTCATGATTTTATATACCTCTATCATATCCCCCCTCAGTCTCCTCTTTTCTAAACATGCCATGTGAACATCAAAACTCTGAAACTCACAGCATGGCTACTCCATGGTTCCAGAATGAAGAACTTACCTGTTTGGACAGGGGCCTGATTTGTCGTAGCCAAATTAGCCCCCATCATACTGTACGTATAGTTGGGGTTATTTTTCCCGATGTGCATTACTTTACACTTATCCACATTAAATTTCATTTGCCATTTTGTTGCCCAATCACTCAGTTTGGTGAGATCTTCTTGGAGTCCCTCACAGTCTGCTTCTGTCTTGACTATCCTAAACAGTTTGGTATCATCTGCAAACTTTACTACCTCACTGCTTACCCCTTTCTCCAGATCATTTATGAATAAGTTGAAAAGGATTGGTCCCAGGACTGACCCTTGGGGTACACCACTAGTTACCCCTCTCCAATCTGAAAATTTACCATTTATTCCTACCCTTTGTTTCCTGTCTTTTAACCAGTTCTCAATCCAAGAAAGGACCTTCCCTCTTATCCCATGGCCATGTAATTTACACAAGAGCCTTTGGTGAGGGACCTTGTCAAAGGCTTTCTGAAAATCCAAGTATACTATATCTACTGGATCCCCCTTGTCCGCATGTTTGTTAACCCCTTCAAAGAACTCCAATAGATTAGTAAGACAGGATTTCCCTTTACAGAAACCATGTTGACTTTTGTCCAACAAATTATGTTCTTCTACATGCCTAACAATTTTATTCTTAAGTATTGTTTTGATTAATTTGCCCGGTACAGACGTTAGACTTACCGGTCTGTAATTGCCGGGATCACCCCTTTTAAAATATTGTTGTCACGTAAGCTATCTTCCAGTCAGTAGGTACGGAAGCTGATTTAAAGGATAGATTACAAACCACAGTTAACAGTTCCGCAATTTCCCATTTGAGTTCTTTTAGAACCCTTGGATGAATGCCATCCGGTCCCGGAGATTTGGTAACATTAAGTTTTTCTATTTGTTCCAAAACCTCCTCTAATGACACTTCAATCCGGGACAGTTCCTCAGATTCATCACCCACAAAGGACGGTGCAGATTCAGGAATCTCCCCAACGTCCTCAGCCGTGAAGACTGAAGCAAAGAAATCATTTAGTTTCTCCACAATGGCTTTATCGTCCTTGATTGCTCCTTTTATAGCTCGATCATCTAGGAGACCCACAGGTTTTTTAGCAGGCTTCCTGCTTCTAATGTACTTAAAAAACATTTTGTTATTTCTTTTTGAGTTTTTGGCTAGCTGTTCCTCAAAATCTTTTTTTGCTTTTCTTATTACATGTTTACACTTGATTTGACAGTGTTTATGTTCCTTTCTATTTATCTCACTAGGATTGGACTTCCACTTCTTAAAAGATACCTTTTTGTCCCTGCTTCTAATGTACTTAAAGATTTTGTTATTTCTTTTTGAGTTTTTGGCTAGCTGTTCCTCAAAATCTTCTGGGGATCAGGATTGGGGATCAGGAGGGAGCATGGGGTCTGGGAGGGAGTTTGGGTGCAAGAGGCAGTTATGACCCAGGGCAGGGGACTGGGGTGCAGGGTTTTGGAATGTGACCTAGGGCAGGAGGGGCCACCCAGCAGCGCAACCAGCCTGCCTGCCTGCCGAGCTAAATGCTTGCAGAGCTTTAAACATTTATCAGCCAGCCTACCTGCCTGCACCTGCACCGGCTGCAGCTCCACCCAGCAGCGCAACCAGCCTGCCTGCCTGCCGAGCTAAATGCTTGCAGAGCTTTAAACATTTATCAGCCAGCCTACCTGCCTGCACCTGCACCGGCTGCAGCTCCATGTGCTTGTGAGAATAATTGAACCAGAGGGGAGGGAGCATGGTGCTTCACATACTGCCTGTTATTCAAACAGGCAGCTCCCATTGGTCAGTTTCTGGCCAGAAACCAGCCAACAGGATTGTGCTGGGGACAGAGACAGCACCTGAAGCCTCATAGAACCATAAAGCTGGAAGAGACCTCAGAAGGTCATCAAGTCCAGCCCCCAGCTCTAGGCAGGACCAATCCCACCTAAATCAACCTGGCCAGGGCTTTGTCAAGCCAAGATTTAAAAACCTGTAGGGAAGGAGATTCCACCTCCTCCCTAAGGAACCCATCCCAGTGCTTCACCACTCTCCTAGTGAAATAGTTTTTCCTAATATCCAACCTGGACCTCTCCCACCACAACTTGAGCCCATTGCTCCTTGTTCTGCCATCTGTCACTACTGAGAATAGCCTTTCTCCATCCTCTTTGGAACCTCCCTTCAGGAAGCTGAAGGCTGCTATCAAATCCCCCCTTACTCTTCTCTTCTGCAGACTAAAACCCAAATCCCTCAGTCTCTCCTCACAGGTCATGTGCTCCAGCCCCCAATCACTTTGGTTGTCCTCCAATGGACCCTCTCCAATGTGTCCACATCCTTTCGATAGTGAGGGGCCCAGAACTGGACACAATACTCCAGATGTGGCCTCACCAGAGCTGAATAAAGGGGAATAATCACTTCTCTATATCTGCTGGCAATGCTCCTCCTAATGCACCCTAATGTGCCATTTGCCTTCTTGACTACAAGGGCACCTTGTTGACTCATATCCAGCTCCTCATCCACTGTAATCCCCAGGTCCTTTTCTGCAGAACTCCTACTTAGCCAGTCGGTCCCCAGCCTGTAACGAAACTTGGGATTCTTCTGCCTCCCTCCCATACCTGTCCCCTCACCCCGCTCCCCTCCGGGATCACAGTTTTGAAAGAGAAACAGCTCAGCAGCCGCTTTTCTAAGCAGTGTGCAGGGCAAGCAGGAAAGCCAGCCTGGGACTCCCTGCTGTGTCCACAGGCCAGATCTGGTGGCTTGGTGGGCTGAATGTGGCCCTCAGGCCATATTTGTCCAGGCCTGACCAAGAGTGGCCAGCAGAGCTGGGGCTCCACCATCTTGCCTGCTAGCACACCAAGTAAATAGCCTCTTTGCCCCAAATCCTTTTCCCCATCCCAGCCGGTGGGGGGATGGGGAGGGTCAGAAGAGGGCTCCTGGAGGCTGGGGAGTGAGAAATAGGGCTCCTGGTGGTCAGGAGTGACTGGGGGTGAGAGAAAAGGGCCATACTGGATGAGACCTTCCCTCCTGAGCCTCTCTTCACCCTCCAACCCTCACTCCTGCACTCTCCCCCCTACATCCCAAAAGCACTGCCGAGTCATGCACCCCCCACACCACTAGCCCCTGGCCCTGAAGGACCCTGGCAATGCTGGGTAAGTCTGCTAGGATCGCATATATTATCTTTACCTGGGGATGCATTTTGGGTTATATCAATTTTTCGAGCTCCCATACATAAAACCTTTAATTCTCTATAGTATCCTCATGGTTTTGCTAGCTACATAATAGTCCATGCCTCTCAATGAACTGCCTTAATCTGGGGACACACTGGACTTTGATTTTCATCATTACTCACCCCTCAAAGTTTCTGCTAACATTTCTGCTCTCTCATTATCAGAACTTCTGTTTTGTCAATCCCAATAAGACCTGGCATGCAACTACTCTTATTCTGAATTCCACAAACTCTTCTAATTTGCTTGTATATGTCTGATGCATGGGTATCCTTATTTAACCTCCTGCAATACTACCTCCAACTCTTTCCTTGTTTTTTTCATAATACTTTGTGCTGAAGTCAAGGTGTTCCCCTGCCCCTGGTACCACATCTCTGCAGAGCAAGGGTCAAGGAGAAGGGGAGACACAGCAGAGTGGCTCCAGTCTGAAGCATGGATAGTAAGTGTCTCAGAGGAGTGCACCGCATATCAATACACTAAGATTTCATTGCTCTCTCACACTTCCCTCCATACCCCAGCTCTCCAGAATGGGGGAGACAACAGAACAGGACAGATTTCCCTGTCTTAGAAACAGAACATGGCTTTTCTCCGAAACTTACCCAGCAACAGCCAGCACACACACACCCCCACCCATCTGTGCCACACATGCTCAATCTGTCACAAAGTCTGTCACACAGGGTCTCTTTCACACTCACACTATTTCTCTCTGTAGCCCTCAGCTCCATTTCTTCCTCCCAAGGCCCCACCGCTTTGGGTGGGACAGCCATGATCACATATCAAAATTCATAAAGTGCTCCCTCTGCAAAAATTATTGCCCACTCCTCCATGGGCAATAATTTTTGTCAAGGCCCAGGCACCAGAGAAAATGCAAAAATACTAAGTAAATACTAAGTTTTGGGATCTGTTTGAAATAATCTGGTGGTTGGAATTTAGCATGCAGTATGCCTACTAACTTCCCTAAGCTAGACTAGTGTTAGGGTTTTTTGTTTCTTTAAGATCTCTTAGCAATTGCCTGCATTTTTAAAAATCTTCTAATTCATGTTATTGGCTATCAAGTTCCTTTTTCTATTTGTTTATATAGTTGCTGCTGTTACCCAGACACCCTCTTAATCAAACATGTTTAAAGCAAAGTTAACATTTTTCTGTAACTGAAGAATTGTGGCTATTAGGAAATC